ATATCTTGCCAAATATTTACTAATGTCCACGTAAATGGCTGTAATGTGATTGCCTCGGTCCAGTGCTGCATCAAGATGATTCATTAAATATAGCAGCTGAATTTGTGTGCTATGTTTTGGACGGTATCCACTTTATTTTTCAGAGAGCAGCCCATTCTCAGTTGAGTGTTCATATATATTATGCAATACGATTTTTTCAAGAAGTTTTGACACACAAGGAAGTACACTGATTGGTCTGTAGTTATCAGTATCCGAGCTTGACCCTTTGCTTTTGAAAATGGGATGAGCATTTGCGTCTTTCCAGGTGGAAGGAAAAATGTCTTGGCTTAGTGACATGTTGAATATTTTAATGAGTGGAGCCTTCATCAATGTGGCAGTAGTTTTTAATATTTTGCTGGGAGATTGCTAGAAACACATGATTTGTTTGGATCGAGAGTGTTGAGTGCCCTCAGTACTTCATCCTCTGTCAGTACTCCTCTGTTTGTCAGTCTGCGTTTACCAGAAGTTGTGAAAGTTTGTCTGCATGCATGCTTGTGTAGTCCCTTACTTGTTTGGTTGATGCTTTAGGGGTGGTGATGCAACCTTGATAGTGACAAAGGTAGGAATGTGATCTAGTAGTGAAGGGGGGTGGCGGGGGGTTGAACCTCACTGTCTGCAGTGATGTTTGTGTTCGATGTCAGATTTAAGTCTCGTAAGTTGGCTGTGTCTTGTGTAAAGCGTGTTGGCTGATCAATGAGTTGTGTCAGATGGAGTGATTCAACTGTGTGTTTCAGTCTGACTTCAAATGGAAAGATGTCACTGTGTTTAGTAGTGGGCTTCAGTTAGATAGTTATTACCAGCATTAAAATCTCCCAATATCGCTATCGATGCACGGTGATATGTATGTGCCATGCCAACACTGTCTGACAAGATATCTAAAAACTCTGTCAGTTGACTGCTAGAGAGATTGGGTGGGACATAGACACAGCAGACCACAATAACTTCTGATTTGATTTTGGTGAGGGACCAAACCCATTCAACTCCTTCCAGTTCGAGATCAGGTAGTCTCTTTGCTGGGAGTGTTGATGTAAAGTATGCTGCTACTCCTCCTCCATGTCGAGGCCTGTGCTTTGTCATTGGGTTGTGGTTGTCGTGTAAATTGTTCAAGCTAGGATGGACCTGGAGTCAAGTTTGGTTTCAGTCAGAAGCAGGATGTCAATGTTGTTATGTGTGGTAAAGAAAGCAAGTTCGTCCAGGCGTCGTGGAGATGTGATGCTGTTTATGTTGACATGTGATATTGTGACATTCTTAGTTGCTGGTGGTCCTGGGTTGATTTCCAGCCCATTGATTATTAGGCACGTTTCAATGCTAGGATATAGTTTAAATGACAGTTTTGAGCATTTGTGTGCAGGAGCTGAGCAAGTGAAAGTAAGATGTGTGCGTGAAGGAAAAGAGTAGGTGAGAACTGGACAATGGCATGGCATGAGGGTTGAAAGGGATAGAGGAAAAATACCAGCAACTGCTCAGCAGCCCACCTCCAATGTCCCAGCTGAAAAGGTTGATTAAATAATGTCAGAAAAAGTCACCGGAAGCAGCAGGCTAAATTTGGCAGCGGGCACGTAGCGGCATCCAGGAACTGGCCGCTAGTGGTCAGTGACTTGAGGGTCGCACTAGTGACAGTGTGGATAATAGTGGAAATGCAATGGCACAAAAAGGCAGTGATGAAGAAAAGAAAACAAATAAGCACAATGGCTACTCTAATCATGCATCAAACATGGCTATGTCATTGGGGCAAAGCACACCTCATATGGGCATATCACATTGTGAATCATGGACCTCAAACCAACAGAAATACAATTACCGTTAACAAATGCAAATACAGTCAAGCAGACATAGTTAGCACAGAATGCCTGATGTGAAATGATGGCCTTGAGCAAAAGTGTCATATATCAACCACGACATCAACACAGTATGGAGCAACAAACTTATTACCTAGGGGTGCCACAGCCTTAAACGTTTCAGTCACTAATGACGGTATTAACATGAGGGTGTCTCTACAGCGGTGGAGGGGCCGGGGTCTCATGATCATCTGCATTTCCGTTGGGATTCGGTCGTTCCCTCTACTTTTGTAGTCACGAATACGTCCGTTCTCTTGTGCACCAACGTAATGCTTTTAGCATCGCAACACTTCAGATAAGACTCCACGAGAGCAATTTCGCTTCATATTAAAATGGGCTCTCACACACCAGAAAGCACTAGGTGTTTAGTACTTGGTCTTGTAGGCCGGCGCAGGGGCATAAGAGCGAGCAGGCTTGTACGCCGGGGCAGAGGCATACGAGCGAGCAGCACCGTTCTCCATCCATCCACTGCACCGTTGTTCTCCGGCATCCGATAGCCCTGAAATGGTCATGACCGGCCGAAACTGCTCTGATCTAAACTTCTGAAACATCACGGCATCGTATTACGAGCATCTTGTTGGTTCTTCAGCAGCTCGCTAGCCACAAACGTTTATTATCACACTCCTCACTGAACAAGAATCACATCTCGCACATTTCTATAACCGTAGATCGCAAAGTACATGATGCTACCCCAAAGATTACACTGCTGTAGTTACTCATTAGTCTCGTTAAATTGCTGCCAGGTAATCATAGAACGAATTCTTAAGATTTGGTGTGTATTTTAAAAGCAGACAGAACACTTTGCCGTGAGTTAATTGGCTAGAGTGGGTTCTTCAAAATTATACACGGTACATGGACACAAAATCAGTTTCCTTGTACGAGTGGATGAAATAACCTGCAACCTTGACCGAAA